TTCTGAGGACCACATCAAACAGGCTCATCAGAAGGATAATTAAATCTGCTCTCAATCGCTCACCGCCAATCGTGATTTCACACAATTTACACACACTCAACACCTCCACACATCCCAGTGGGGAGTTCAAAGCCATCGGCACTTCTAAATTCTCAAATTTCAGTTTCAAAGTTCGTACAAAAGAACTTAATATAAACGAGTGTGTGGCACCTGTGTCAAACAACACATGAGCAAAAGAATGAGAGATTAGAATCATACCCTTAACCACCGCGCTACTGGTCTGACCTCCAGAACTGCCTCCTGCCAGGGCATAAGCTTGTCCCTGTACTTTCCCTTTCCCTCTGTCACCAACATTAGGCCGTTAGGTCAGAGGCCTATACTGTTACGGCGGAGGTGGTTGTACCGGTCTCGGCGCTTGAGGCCGGAATTATGTAAACATAGGTGGTTGATAAGTCAGCACATGAGGGTATGGCATCTGTTGTGGCTGATATGGTGGCATGTACTGTGGTGGCCCTTCTTGACTGTAGGAAGCGTCACTTTGGGCTTGTTGAGCCGGCGGTCGATTAGGACAATTCCTCCTAATATGACCCACCTACCCACAATGGTGACACCTAGGCCCGTATGGAGCACTTCTATCACTCCCTGACAAACTACTGCCACCACTAACCACTCCCCCACCAGGCTGTCCTCGGTTGCGGTTCCTTCTACCACTCCACTGTGGCCCACCAGAAACAGATGGTCCCCAAGAAACTGAAACTCTTCCCGCTTGTTCTTTACTCTGGTGATAAGCTATGTTATCCTGCTCCACCCTAGTAGCAGCAGCCACCAAATCTCAGAAATTCTGGGTTCTCAAAGCCACCAATGACCTCCTCACAGAATTCTTGAGACCCTTTTCAAACTTAAGACATCTAAGGTGTTCAGATTCCACCAAAGATGGTGCAAACTGGGATAGGTCAGTAAACTTGGCCTCATACTCCCTTACAGACATGTCACCTTGCAGTAGAGACATGAATTCCAACGCCTTTTCCTCCCTATAACTCTGAGGGAAGTACTGCTCATTGAACAGTGTCTCAAATTACTCCCAAGTCAGTCCTGTAACATCTATTCTTCTCTTGACCCGTTTTCACCAAGTATTCGCTAAGCCCTCCATCTTGTATACCGCAAATTTCACTCAGTATTCATCTGGAACTCCCATAGTACTCAAATGCTTGACTATGGAGTCTAACCAGAACTCTGCTTCATGGGGTCCTCCCTCACTATTAAACGAGGGGATAGGCGCACGCCTAAATTCTCAGAAGTAACCTTGCTTCCTATCCTCAACCAGCCGCTCGTTTTGAGCTCTAGTGGCCATGCCTTGAAAGGCAACATACATGGCATCTAGAAATCCCTGATTCTGTTGTTCCGGTTGATTAGCGGGCCTACGGCGAGGCGCCATTTCCTTTAACTGAAATAAAACTAGAATGTTCAGTGGATAAGAGATGTAACACATGTATGTACAATCCTGGGGTTTCTTAACCTAGGGCTCTGATACCACTCTTTGTCACGCCCCCCAAATGGGGTGGGTGATGTGGAGCTCGATTAGGGATTAATAAAGCAAATTCCCAGACGAGCCCCACTCAACTGCATTAGAATATAAATAAATTACAGAATTCTGGAGCCTCTGACACACAGGGCTCCACCCCACAGGACATACAGTATCATACATACATGCTCATGTAAGAAATCATTACAGCACTCATCAACCACAGTCTAGTAAATCTAAATATTACATAAGTTCACAGAATTTCTCAAATTCCTTACATTTGTCCAAGAGGTTGTCCACGATCCTCACTTGATTCCAACAACAGCACAACTCAGCTGCTCCGTAGCAAATAGCCAGCTACTATGCACCGCTCCTAGAGTCTCCTGGGAGGGGTTTAATACATTTGAAATATAAAACGTGAGCGAAAGGCCCAGTAGGATATAATTTGAAATAAACGTTATAAATAAATGAATAATAAGTGAGTGAGGAAATACATAAATGAATAAGTAAATAAAATAAGACATTCAGTCTTGACGGAATAGCCGGAACCTCACATCCTTTTTCTCAAAGGAAATATAACTAGAAATAACCATATTACAGGCTTCAACAAGTAATTAGTACAAATTACTCACCTAACCAAGTGCCTCGCCTACCCGGACCGAGTTTCGGGTTCTGCCCTCGAGGACGCACTATCCGCATCATATCTAGGCTTACAGCAATAGACTCTATTACCAGTTTACAAGATCTCTTTGCTTAAGAAATCATTCATTAACCTTCTGAAATTCTAGATGACATTTTCAATGCATTGTAGTCATGCCATTAATTCTTTTTACATGAAATTAAAATACTGTCATCATCCTAAAGCATTCAATTTTTTAAAAGGATAAAATCATTTTGGTACCCTATATTATAGTGAAACATGCTTAGTACCTTATGTTTTTTATGATATTAAAATGATACCTTGACGATTTTAAAAATATCTAATTGGTAGCTTGAAGTTAATTTGTGAGATATATAATGTCCAAACTACCATTTTTATCAATTAAATAAAAATTAGTATCTTTTTTCCAAAAAAATCTGAAAATATTTTAAAACATTAAAATATTTAAAAGAACAAAATCAAAAGTTTATTTTTTTTCTAGATGTATTAGTTTTTGATTAATTAAATAGAAGGGTATTAAAGTCATTTTACATCTCAAAAATCAACTTTAAGGTATTAAAAGATGTTTTTGAAAACATCGAGGTATCACTTTAATATTATAAAAAAAATACCAAGAATATGTTTTGCTATAACACGTAGTATAAAAATGATTTTATCCATTTTATAAATGTTCATACAAAGACAGTTTAGATATGTCAGGTTAGTAATTATTAACCACTTGAAAAAATGTTGTTAAAATTTTATTTAAAAATAATAAATTGAATGAATCAGTGATTTTTATTTAAGTACTTTCTACAGTGACGAGGGTCCTTGTACAATTCACATGCTTGTCATTTAAGAGCCAAAGGACTTTGAAGAAAAAAAAAATGACATGTGAAAATGGTGGCGAAAAGGAGAGCTAATGATTTTCCATTGCGAGTGAGGTGTAATTAAGGCTAAAATGTTGCTTCTCAAATATTGGCCTTTTATGTCGAAATTAATGCAGTTGATGATAAATCTCATGACAATTAAGAGATTTATAAAGCCAAATTAAATAAATAATAAATTTTAAAACTATTTAAAATAAAAGAAGTTTATGTATTTACGATTAGAAAAAAAAATTTAGGTAAATTTTTTTTACAACTGCTAAAAAGATTTTTTCGCTTAAATAAAAAAAAAAATTTACCACGGAAATTATTTTTTATCATTCGTAAATGAAATATTTACACGGTAAAATAATATTTACTTCAAATAGTTTTATGATATATTATTTACATAATTTAGTTTTAAAAATCTATTATTTACTACAATTTCTCTGGTGTGTAAATTAAGTTTTTGAAGTCTAGTTATGTAAAAATTAATTTTTTTAAAGGATGTAAAAATTAATGAATTCTTCACAAAATAATATATATTTAAATTTCAACTCTAACTCTCTAAAAGCATTATTTCTATTATTTCTTCCTGTAGATTTGCCTATGGCCTCAAGCTCTGATGAGCTGCTGATTATAATCTGGCATGGATGAGATTATGTGAAAGATCTTGAAAAAATCCGACAAAGTTGCACCGAATCTACCATGCAGAATTGCAAAGCAAGCAAAAACTTTGATTACTCATCCTCGACAAGCTCTTCCTTAGACGAGGCTATTTGAGAGACTAACATTTACCAATAGAATACTGTGTTGTTGTTGTTGCAGGACTCCAGTAGATGACTTCTAAATCTTCATTTTTTTTTTTTGTTATTTTTTGGTGTTTGATAATACAAGATTTATTTTTGTAATTCAGTTCTTTTTTTTTTCTTTTTGTGTGTGTGTTTTTCAATTAATTCCTTGAGTTAATTCAGTGGATTACATATAGTAAACCTAGTAGATTACTTTGACGACTGGTGATGAGCTGTTTTGAGATTAAACTGGTCGATTACTGGTGGTAATCACTCATGATACTCTAGTGACTAGCACGAGAGACATTAATTTAATGAGAAAATTATAGATTCTAACTCTTTAAATATATGACTTAATAAATGTATCTCTTTTAAAAAACTCTATCTTTGACTAGTTCTAATCTAAGAGGTAAAAATATATAGACTAATATTAATGAATAAAAATAAAAAGGAACTCCAGGAGATATTTTTAAAAATTGTCCCATCTGAATGGAAAACACATTATTATTTAGTAAGTTGTCGGTGGTAATCTAATAGATTTCTCTAGAGAACATTTGCCGACAAGGACCGATGGTTACTGTCTAACAATAAAATCTGGTATATTATAGTTGATAATTTAGGGTCCGTTCAGTTCACTGATTCGAGTTTTTAATTCGAGTTAAGATGTGATTTTATGTGATAACTTTTTACTGTACATGTGATAACTTTTTACTGTATCTGTACCAAAAAAATTAGATGTGACTGTTTCTGAGAGCTTTTTACTGTACTAATAAAGTTAGATGTGACTGTTTTTTAGAGCTTTTTACTGTAGTAAAACTCAAATCAGTGAAATGAACAAGACCTAAGTAGATTATTCTGACGATCAACAAAGGTGGCCGAGCGGACGAAGTTTGGCAAAATACATCTTGTTGACCTTGTAATCGATTATTATAGTGAAGAATTCAAACCCGTTCAAGAGTCGAAATTCTATTTGTTAATATGCCTCATTACGCTAACATTATCTTCTCAAAATTTATAATTTTGTGTTGAAAACGTTGATTTCATTAAGCTGTAAGGGATATATTTATACAAGAAAGAGAGACTATTCAAAGCCTAAGAATCTGTTCAGTATGGTAAGTTTCCTATGCTATCCTATATTACAAGGAAAGTATCGAAGCAATAATATATACAAAAGTCAATGATCAATCATTCCTAGAATCTTGCATATTTTCCTTAACACTCCCCCTCAAGTTGAAAAAGATATTAATCATTCCTAACTTGCGAAGTAAATTTGAAAATTGCAGAAGACCCAATGACTTGGTGAAGACGTCTGCTGGCTGCTTTGATGTAGATATATGGAAAGTTTTGATTGTTTCATCTTGAATCTTTTCCCTTACAAGATGATAGTCTATCTCTATGTGTTTAGTTCGCTCATGAAACACGGGATTAGATGCAATGTGAAGCGCTGCTTGATTGTCACAATATAGTTTGACTGGTTGTGAATGATTAACTTTTAGGTCATTCAAAATATACCGCAGCCAAGTGACCTCACAACAGGCTAACGCCAACGAGCGATATTCTGCTTCCGCACTTGATCGTGAAACTGTGGTTTGCTTCTTTCTTTTCCAAGAGATTAGTGAGTGTCCGAGAAAAATGTAATATCCCGTGGTTGACCGTCGTATGTCTCGACACCTAGCCCAATCGACATCACAAAAGGCATTTAATTGCATAGGACTGTCCGCAGAGAGAAAGATCCCTTGTCCTGGTGTCTGTTTAAGATATCGTAATACTCGATGGGCAGCTTCTAGATGTGGGGTGCGAGGCTTGTCCATGTATTGGCTGAGAATGTGAACGACATAGACTAAGTCTGGCCGTGTGATGGTCAAATATATCAACTGTCCAACTAGTCTACGATAGGAAGAAGGATCCTTAACGTATTCACCTTCATCTCTGCTAAGTGACAAGTTTTGTTCCATTGGTGAATTAACGGGCTTAGCTCCCAAGTATCCCACGTCATCTAGAATCTCAAGTGCATATTTTCGTTGTGAAAGTGCAATTCCCTTCTTTGACCGTGCTATTTCTATTCCCAAAAAGTATTTTAACTCACCAAGGTCTTTCAACTTGAATTGTCGCGTGAGGTGAGCTTTTATTTCCTCAATGTCTTGTAAGTTGTTTCCGGACAAAATAATGGCATCCACATAAACTAGAAGAGCAGTGAATGAGTTACCATGGGTTCGGACGAATAAGGAGTGATCGGATTTAGAATGATGGAATCCAGCATCTTGGAGGGCTGTGGACAACTTGATGAACCATTGACGAGAAGCTTGCTTAAGGCCATACAAAGACTTGTGTAGCTTGCATACTCGTATCTCCCCCTTTCGTCCGAAGCCGGGAGGTAAAGACATATAAGCATCCTCTTCAAGATCACCATGAAGAAAAGCATTATTGACATCAAGTTGGCAAAGGTGCCAATTCTAAGAAGCAGCTACTGCAAGGAGAAGTCGGACGGTGACAAGCTTGGCAACAGGAGCAAAGGTTTCCCGGTAATCAAAACCTTCAACTTAGCTGTAACCCTTTGCCACCAAACGGGCTTTGTAGCGATCAATTGTGCCATCAGGTCTAAATTTAATTTTGTAAACCCATTTACAACCAACAGGCTTCTTGTGTGGCGGAAGTGGCTGTAAGGACCAGGTACCATTAGCTTTGAGAGCACTAAGTTCTTCTTCCATAACATGTCGCCATTAGGATCCTGAGCAGCTTGTGCATAAGATGTTGCTCCTTGACAGCTGAAATAGAAGTAGCAAAAGCTCTATGTGCAGGTGAAAGTTTGTCGTAAGTAACAACTTGAGATAAAGGATGAGGTATACCTTTGTCGTCAGCCAACACCGAGTGAGACGAGGGAAGGGAACGAGACGGCAAGGAAGCTTCGACATGGTATTGTTGAAGATAGCTGGGTGCATGAGTGGTTCATCGGAGTCGTGTTTTGGGTGGTGATGTGAGGCCTTGCTGTGGTGAAGAAGAAGAAGAGCTTGAAATATTAAGTAAATCTGTTGGAGGTGAGGTGATGTTCAGTTCGGCTTCAATATTGGTTGAAGGAAGTGGTGAAGAAAGTGGTGCAGCGGGTAATATTGGAGGTGGTTGGGGCGATGGAACATGATCTTGTGTAGTGGAGCGCTCAAAACTAGGCCATGTATCATCGTAACCAATGACAGGAGATTGAGAAAGCATAGGTGTAGACATGGTAGGTAAAGTGGCAGCGGAAGTAACTGAGGGAAAAATGTGCTCATGGAAGATTACGTCACGAGAGATGAAAATTTTTCCTGTTGCTAAATCATAAACCCGATATCTTTTTGTGCCATATGGATAGCCAAGAAAAAGACAACGAATAGATCGGGCATCAAATTTACTAGGGCGAAGGTGATGACTAGATGCAAAACATAAGCATCCGGAAACTCGTAGATGTTCATAAGCAGGCGGTTTATGAAAAAGAACTTCATATGGCGTTTTACCTTTAAGCACATGAGTGGGTGTACAATTGATAAGGTAGGTTGCAGTGAGAAGGGCATCTCGCCAAAATGGTTTAGGAAGGTTAGCTTGAAAAAGTAACGCACGGGCCACATTAAGAAGGTGACGGTGTTTGCGTTCGACAACTCCATTTTGTTGTGGAGTAGAAATGCAACTAGTGTGGTGGAATATACCTTTATCAGAGAAAACTTGGGCAATATCAAATTCATGTCCATTGTCACTGCGAATAATTTTTACACGAGTTGCAAATTGTGTTTCGACAAAATTGATGAAAGTGATGAGAAAGTCACGCGCTTCAGATTTTGTGTGTAATAGATAAACCCATGTACATCGTGAAAAATCATCAACTATGGTGAGAAAATACTTTGCCCCATCGATTGTAGGAACCCGATAACCTCCCCAAATATCAACATGAATCACTTCAAAAGGTGCTTTTGTATTGATAGAACTTAAAGGAAAAGGCTTGCGAGTTTGTTTGGCAAGAGGACAAATTGAGCAATCATGAATGGAACAGAATTGTACTCTGTTATTAAGCAAAGACACAGCTTTCAGACTTTTATTAGAAATATGACCTAGACGTTGATGCCAAAGATGAGGATGGGTGGAAACGACGGCTGAAACGGAGAAACACCCAGCATTCTTCTGAATATCCAAGTAGTAGAGTCCTTTCCGCTCAGTTCCCGTCCCAATCGTCTTCCTCGAATGTTGGTCCTGAACAAAACAAAGATTGTTAGTGAACGTGGCATAGCAAGAGGAAGACTTAGTGAGCGCTGCTACTGATATCAAATTTAATTTGAAAGATGGAACACATAACACGTTGTGAAGTATGAGTTTATCAGAAAAACATATGGTGACTATATGTGTTATACGGGCAAGAGCATGATTTGGTAGATGCACATAGCGATTGGTAACGGGCGTGCTGGTGGTCATAAGTTTGGATGAGCAGACCATGTGATTGGTTGCTCCTGTATCAAAAATCCACTGAGTTTCTGAAGATACATTCGCACAAAATGTAGTACCTGAAAGATTTCTAACGGTTGAGGCTGAACTCACTTGATTTGCCATGCTGTCTGGCTTGGTTCGATCAATAAGAGCAAGTAAATCATGATATTGTTCTGCCGTAAGACTGTAAGGTGGGGATGATGATGCTTCAGCCTTACTTGGTTTGAATTCAGAATAGTGTGCGTTAGGAAGCAGGTTTGAATTTTCTCTTTTATCTCCAAGAGTGGTAGCCCTCTTTAGTTTGCGACAAACATCAATAGTGTGACCTTTGTAACCGCAGTAATCACACTTGAGATGGGCTCGACAGTTTTCTGTGGAGTGTCCTGTGATATTGCAACGGTCACACTTGAGGTGAGCATTCTTCAAAAAATGATTCCTATTCTGGCTTTGTGATGCATTTTTGACAGCAAATGCAGCAGCATCTGGTGCTTTTCCTATCACCTGTGAAGAAACAGCCCTTTATTTTTCGTCTTGAACAATAAGAGAGAATACCTTGTTGGCAAGAGGTAAGGGCTCAATGAGTAAGATCTATCCATGAGCTGTTGCATAGACTCCATCAAGTCCCATGAGGAACTTTATGGTTCGCTCCCTCTGTTGGTAATCTTGCAACTTCTTCGCTATGTCACCATCACAAGGTGGGAGAGGATATAAAACATCTCGTTTATCCCACAAGCCTTTCAGTTTGGTGTAGTATTCATTGATGCTCATACCTTCCTGTACACAACGTTGAATCTCTTGATCAACGTGAAAAAGATCTACACTGTTTGTTTGAGAAAACCGCTCCTTCAATTCATTCCAAAGCGTAAAGGCACTATCATTGTACATTACGCTTTGTGCAATGTTGGGTGAAATGGTATTGAGAATCCATCCCTTAACAAGAAGATTGCAGCGAGTCCACTGTTTGATCTCCGCTGCGGATCCGGAGAGTGGTTTGATAATGGTACTGTCGATGAGACTGTCTTTGTTTTTGGTGGTGAGAGCCATGAGCATGGCATGGCTCCAAACAGGATAGTTTTCTTGTGTCAGTGTTTGAGTCACAAGGACCAAGCCTGGTTGATCCGAATGATGAAGGTAAAGGGGTTTGCTTGGATCTTCGAACATGTTCGTTTGAAGTTTGGACTCCTCCAGTTGCTTCGATGTTGTCTCGTCATTTTTCGCCATGAGAACAAATGGTGAAAGGTGTGACGGCTAGGTTTGTTTTGTTTTGGTTGGGTTACTGTGTGAGATGTATTTCACTGCTCTGATACCATAATAAATTGGTTTGTGCTGAAAACGTTGATTTCATTAAGCTGTAAGGGATATATTTATACAAGAAAGAGAGACTATTCAGAGCCTAAGAAAGTTTCCTATGCTATCCTATATTACAAGGAAAGTATCGAAGCAATAATATATACAAAAGTCAATGATGAATCATTCCTAGAATCTTGCATATTTTCCTTAACAGAATCAGTGGAGGGCGAGCCATGCTACAGGGGAAACACACTCGGATAAATCAAATAAGGAAATAAGGAAGCGGATACACAAACACCTATTCATACCATCTTGCTCAAATAAAACTTCGGTATAGTCATACGTTGGATAATTTTTTAAACAAGAATAAATTAATTATCAAGAGTGCTAAATCCCCATAAAAAATACTTAATCAAATTGAATAAAAAAAAAAAAAAAAAAAAAAGAATTCATATCTTATTTCGTTTCTCTGTCTATTAATAAAAAAGAGAGGATACGTGTTTAAAAATTGTACTTCAACTTTCCAAATTCAATAGTTCAAACTTACTCATTCTGCACTTAGCTTAAATTTACTCCATTTGGCTTATTTATCTTCAAACGCCTCACACTCTCACTGTCTCACACAAATTAATATAAAAAATACATATAGAAATACAATATGCTGGCAAATTTTTTGAGTTTGTACTTCAACATTGTGTGCTTGGTTAGGTGTTTTTTTTCTTTGCCTTCGTTTTTCTTTTCCTTCTAGAAATCTTGCATATTATCTGCTTTTTTCTTCTTCTTTTTTCCGCAGAATATTATCTGCTTGGTTGCTTCATGTGAATCTGCATACTCCACTACAATTGGTAGTTTGATTGCTTGTGTTGTCTTTTTCCCAAAATATAACTCTATTTAAATATTTTTCCATGTAGTCCTTTGAAAAAGAAATATGAAAATATTTTTCCCAAACAAACTGGTGCTGTCTAGTTCGGTGTTGCTGTCCAAACTGCATTCACAATCAGTTCAAAAAATGAGTAATTTCAAACGAGGGATATATTACAATCTCTTTAACACCTCCTTCCACGTGTTTCGATAACAGTTGGGACAAATGGCACGTGGGGTTGTCCGACGCGTGGTGTTTGTTGCATGAGAAAGGCGCTGGCCACCCAGAGATGAAGAACCTTTTGGCCGTTGACTTTGTATTGTCGTTGGTGATCAACGATAGGAGGCCGTTTATAGAAGGTGAAATATCACTAGTATTGGGTTTCAAAATTGTGTCTTTGCTAACATTAGGCTGTAGCCTGTATGTAAGAGTCGTCCAGATTTTCGAACCTCTCATAGAGCTTTCCAAGAGTGCCAACCATTCCGTCGACTTTTGACAAGAGGTTAATGATAGTGCCAATTGGTTGGTAACGAGAGCAAGGTTAAGAGAAAAATCCACAAAGTTCTTCTCGGCTTTGTGTCGATGAGGAGTATTAGAGTAAGACTGAACTCCGACTCCGAGCTTCGCGTTGCCATGCTGTTATAGTGTACTATACGTATATTGATCAAGGACCTAACCTAAGTCACCTTTATAATGAAAGTTTGGCTTAAAATGGACTGGAAAGTTTAATGGTAATGTATTAGAGCCGTAATGTATGTATGTATATATATATATATATATATATAT